GAGGCAAAAAAAAAAAAAATTAATTAATTATGATTACTATTAAGATTTCAATTACAGTTTTTTATTAATTACGATTTTATATTAATTATGATTTCATATTAATTACGATTTTATATTAATTACAATTTTATATTAATTACAATTTCATATTAATTACAATTTCATATTAATTACAATTTCATATTAATTACAATTTATATTAATTACGATTTTGTATTAATTACGATTTTATATTAATTATGACTTTGTATTAATTACGACTTCATATTAATTACGATTTCTTATTTAATTCGAATATAGATATTGTATTATTATTAAAAATCGTATTAATTCAGAAATTAAAAATATAATTCCACTACATGTATAATTATGATTTTATATTAATTATGATTTCTTATTTAATTCAAATATAGATTCATATTATTATTAAAAATTGTATTAATTCGGAAATTAAAAATATAATTCCATCACATATATATATAATTGAAATCACAATTAAAATAATTGGTTTTGTGGCATAACTAACTTTTCTTGATATTTTGAACATTAATACCTAATAATGGCATAACTAAGAAACTTAATTTTTTCTTGAAGGATCATAATGCAATCAATAACAGCATCAGGATATTCAACGGTACGAGCAAGTCTATTAATACAAGACATGATTATAATTAGGAAAAAGGAGATAAAGGTATAGCAAGGAAAAAATTCAAGTCTTTAAATATGAAAATAACCAATAATATTAATCGATATAATCTCAAAAACTATATAACTATTTTATATCTTGAGAAAATTCTTATTATAAAAAATGTCCAAACTCATATGCCAACAATCTGCCTTGGGAAAAATAAATTTACTTAAAATATATATGCTTTTTATTTTGAATGAAACTCTTGAGAGATTTACTATGTCATATAATTCAATTGCATCAATCAATGAGTTTATTAGGATGTCAATCTTGAAAATTATCCAATATATGCAACAATTCCATCAAATTACTGTATTAGCTCATTTGTATTACCTAGAAAAACTATTGAAAGTCACAAGAAACTCATAACAAACTTGGAAGGGATATATTTAAAAATATTTACTATCTAATCATGAGAGATATTATTGATCCACTATATAAACTTATGAAATTTTTCAAGAGAATTTGAAACAAATGTATTGAACAAAGTATTTATCTATATACTACATTACTGGGATGACTAATTGGGATTATTGGAATAATTTTTTGGTTTTTGTAAAAGGTTTAAGCTTAGAGGACTTCATCTTTTGAAAAAAGAAAATGTGTAATAGAATAGATAACTTAGTCTTATTCTATTTATTTTTATTGGATTATTTCATATTCTATTTTTAGCAGTAGTATTTATTCATTTATTTATAGCATATATAATTAATTATAGTTTGTATAACATAGATCAAATAACCCAAAAGGCCTAAACAGCCCACAAAACTCAAAGAATCTACAAGGTTATCTGATTTATAAAATTATAATATTGTTACATGTAGATCAAGCAGTCTAGGCAGCTTATGTAGAAAAACATTATATAAGTAGTTACTGTTTATAAAATTGTTCAATTAGTTTTAAGATAACTTACTTTTATAATTACTTAGAATTTTGTTTTTGTATTTTAATAAATATTCTTATTTTATTAAATATATTTTAATTACAAAGGTTCTTGAGAAATCTTTGCTATATCTTGAAATATTTGTGAAAGATTATCTCTAAAACAACAAATAGTTCTATATAATTTTTAATTCCTTCTAAAAACTACTATTTGGATACTCGATCAAAATGATTTTAGTTACAATATTAATATCAAAAAAATTTTTGGTATCAGTTTTATAAAATATTATATTAAATAGTACCAATTAGAATTTTAGTTATTATATTATATTATATTATATTAATCTAATATTTGATTTCAATACTTTTAGTTTGGTATTGATATTACAAAATTTTATATTGAAAATTTTCAGTAATTACTAATATCGATACTGAAAAAATTTTGGGTATTGATTTTATAAAATACTATATCGAATGGTACCAATCAGAATCCTAAGCACTACTAGACCAGTTTATTACTGAATTGGGATGAAACTAGGGCAGGGATCTGCAGAAAATATCAGATATTAGAGGATCGATCATCAAACCTGCTTGTCAAAAACAGGTATTTCATACATCTTGCAACTTTTGGCAATTATCATAATACCAAATGGACAATTGTTATACCATGACATCTTTTCTGGAAATCATAATCTCAATGTCTACTGAATCAAAATATAAAACAACTTTTCATGAGAAACAATACTTTTATAGGTTACAGTACCAGATATTATATTAATTCTATTCAACTACTCTTATATGAGATTGAACTGATATCTTGTGATTTGATTTATGAAGTGTTAACCACTATACTATGGATCCATAAATCTTACATAATTTTACTAATTAATATATGTTATTAATTAGTAATTGATATCAAGAGGTTATAGAATATTATTAATATGTTTGATTAACATTATATTTTATTTATTATCTTGTTTTATTTTCTTTTTCTTTATTATTTAATATGATCTTCCAAAAGAATCATTAAGATTTATTCTTTATATATTTTATTTTATTTATTTATATTGGGAAAACATATATTTAAAAATATATTTTTTCTTTAATTATCTTTAGAATTGTTTGCTCTATTCTTTATTAATGAAGTTTTTCTTTAATAATGATAAACTATTTGTTTCTTTATTTAAACCATTACAAATTATAAATATTTGTTTTGAACTTTTTTAATAAAGAAAATATTATAAAACAAGTACTTTCCATATTAAAGCTTAAGATTAATTAAAACAAAAAAAGATATTATTATATAGATTATTAAATATTCCTTATAAATTAGAAATTTAAAAAAAAGAGAAGCTCAAGTATAAAAATAATAATATATACAGTATATAAGAAAGTCTCAAAAAAATTTTTTTCTAAACAAAAAAGACTAAAATAAACAATCTTTTTTATTCCAAAATCATACTTAAAGATAATTAATTGTCTAAAAATATTCAATAGTTTTTATATTTAATATAATACTTAATGTATCTCATATTATTTGTTTTCTATAAAATGATTTAATAAACAGTACAAACTTGTTTGATTATAAAAAAAAATATTTTTTTTTATAAATTAATATTAATGAATTAATTTTAAATAACAAAATTTTTTTATTGTAATGATATAATAATGTATTTGCATAAACCTCTGAAACCTCGGGTATTCCCTCAGGACATTCGATCGCCAGCCTGGACCGCTCACCACCGGGAGCGAGTATGTTGCCTGGCGGGTTTGCGTCATTTCTGACCTCGGCCTCTGAAATCAGCATTCTGCCGAATAGTCAGCAAGCAGCAAAAAATAATTATGTGAGAACATAAAGTTCGACATATCCCAAAAGTCAGAATATTTGTTTATTCAAAAATTAAAATACGATGTTCGAATTAAGTAATCAATTATACTAACAAAAAAGTTCTACTTATTAATCTAAATAATTTTTCAAAAATTCGAATAATGTATACGAGGCACCTTTGCCAATTATCTTTTTAGACACCACTTTCTTTTTTATCTTTTAGCGAAGTTCGATTACTTCCAAGAGTATATAGTATAGTCCCTGAAAAAACCAAGAGACCACCGAATTTCATTCCCGTGTGAAACTCATTATTGAAAAACCAAACAGAAATCATGAGAGAAGTAAACTTTCGGAGATTTAAAACGAGATTTAAAGTTAAAGCAGTGGAAATAGAATTTAGCCTGTGAACACCGGATACGCACACATACCTACGTGAAAAGAATACATAAATATGAAATTAGAACGACCCATATAATAATAAAACCATTTATAAAAGTACATGGCAGTAATGCATCACCACCATACTTACTGGGTTAGCACATTCATTATAAGATAGAGCCACGTTTGAGGCAAGGAACAATTCGTCAACACGCTTCGAGCTTGATCTAAAACATGAAAGTCGCCTGGGACTTTATTGATTACAATGTCTAGTGATATTAATCGAGAGTTGTTGAAACTCTGAATCTGGCCCGCAATGTCGGAGTAAAATATGCAGAATAGTGGCAACGCAAGAAAATGCTATCAAAAGCAATAAAAATCAACATAAAAATCAAAAAAAAAAGATGCACTTTCTGTCGGAAGAAAAATGTTCATATACCGTATAAAATAAACTTTCACGCCAATTGCTTCCATATTTTTGATAGGTAAATTCTTGGTATAAGCCCATTATGCCAGAGAGTATTAAGGCGATCGAGAGAAGAATAATGCCGATCACATAATCCGAGGTGCTGACATCGATGACTCTCCCCTAATTTTGGAGTTCATTATCACTATATGCTTCAGATTATCCATGCTGCTATATAATCTTTGGAACCGACATAACCTTTTGATATGATTTTCTCTTATACCTTCGTATTGATGCTGCCAGAACTAATTGTCGCCAACACGACTCCCAGAGTGACCATCACAACAGATATAACCTGTTTCAGTGTGTACCTAATGTGGGATCTTATTTAAACCTTAATGTGGACCGCAAAAACTAAAAGAATTCCGAGAATTTTTACCTCTTGCCAGCCAACGCCCATCCTAATACCATGCTGATAATTAGACCCCCGCTACGAAAAATTATATGAAGAGGTACAGATATTCTGTATCCTAATGCGATATTGTTCAAAACAGACACCGTAAAAAATAGAACCACCTGAACAACCCATCGATATACGGGGACTGTGCGTTTTTTGAGACGCAGGATCGGCGAAGGGGGTCTATACTCGAGGTGGTGAAATAGACCTTCTCCCGATATAAATAAAAACTGCGCAAAAGTGAAAAGGTTTCCTGCAAAAATCAATTTAGTAAGGTTTGGTAAGGATAAATGAGAAGTCGACATCATGAATGAGTACCGCTCTTCGGTGCATCACTAGAATTTTTTAGGATTTCGGTATAAAGATGATATTTAAAAAACATTCGTCCAGAGTAAGAGAAACATCGTTATTTTACTGACCCAACCAGTAGTTCTAAAGCAACAACATTACTACAACAGCCGCCAAAGAGTAGACACCCAATCACGATCCAGTTCTTTAGTGAATGGATTTCTTTTCTTTTTGACATGATTTAAGTAATTTAAGATTTAATTGAAGGTCGAGATTTATTGTCAAAGAAAAAGAATTTTTTTTCAGGCCGATCTTACCCTAGGGATGTTAAATAATCCAGCAAAACTGGGTTTCGAACCGGTTTATTTTCTTAATTTGAACAGTTCCAGATTTGCAGTTCGAAACAATTATTTTTTATAATCTATTTTTAGAAATTTAATAATTATAAGCTATATAAGCAAAAAAAAAAAAATGATAAACGAAGAGATTATTTAATCACTATGAAATTGAAGTACCAAGTCTACATTACATACATTTATAAAAAACTTAATACAGTAAATCCTCTCTAAATGCACACCCCTCAAGATTATAGAAATTTTTTTAAAAAATATGCATTTATAGAGATAATCTTATTAAGAGTTCTATGTACTTGAGACCAAGCTCGACTGTATATTTAGGGAGAGAAAACATAGTAAGTGCATTTAGAGAGAATGCATTTAGGAAGGTTTCGAGGTATTTTCAAATTTTAAATAATTGAATTTTATAAAATCTGGTTAAATCTAACTAAAACCAATTAATTTTGACCAAAGTTAATTATTTTGATTAAATTCAAGCATACAAATTGTTTTATTGGTCTAAATCAAACACATGTTGCTTAAAAAATTGAATTAAAATTATATATTAACAAGTTAAGATTTCTTGCATTATAGTAAAAATATGAATTTCATAATTATTTTTTTTAAATAAAATATTGAAATTAAGTTTAATGTAATGAATTATTAATTATAAATAATTTAATCAAATATATATTTTGTTAAATATAAAAAAAATATCAAATTATTTGTTAACTTGTAAAAAACTTCAAATACATATATATACTATATACAGTATATACTATACATGTGGCATAAATTATTTTGCTGTTGACTCAATTCCCAAAATTCTCAAAAATAATTATACTATGACTCAATTATTTATATGTTTTAATAGTGACTCAATTAATTGCATCAAATAATTGCATCAATTGCATCAAGGATCTACGAATTTCAGCAACATGTATAGTATATACATATAAATACAAGATGATAATAAGTTCTCCAAAGTCATGCCTAGAGACGTTAATCAAAGACAGGTATTCAAGGCAGTAGAATAGTTTATGCAATACAATGTATTACACATTATTTGTTTTTTGTAAAGATTTAATAAACAGTACGCACTTGTTTGACTATGGAAAAAAAAAAAAACAGGATGATAATAAATTTCTTAATACTTATATTTCAAATATAAAAAAAGTAGAACTTTATAATAATTAACAAATTGTCAAACAAACAAATTTTTTTTAATAAAAAAAATATTAATATTAATATAGAACTTTAAATTAAAAAAATATTACAAAATGAATAAATGTTTTTTGTTCAATTAAAATTTTCAAGATTATAGATCATGGTTCAAAATTTTTTATAAAAATATCAAATCTATAATAAGAAATTTTGTTAACAAACATAGAATCTAAGATATAAAAAAATTTATATAAATATATTTAAATAAAAAAAAAGTTAAAACAATAAATTCTTTTTAATAAAAAATACTTAAAAATTATTTAAATAAATATTATAATAAAACTATAAGAAAAAAAATAAATAAATAAAACAAAACTTGAAAATATCAATATAACAAAATACAAAAAGAAAAGAAAATCAGTAAAATTAAGAAGTAAACAATTAAACAAAATAACTAACAAGATATTTCAAGTTTATTAATAAATAACAATTATTCTATAAAAAATTTTACAAGATATTATAAAATAAGATAAAGAGAATAAAAAAAATTAGGAATATAATATAATTAAATTTTTGTCATGGAAACAAACTGCAAATATAATAAACTAAAGAAAGCAACTTTATTTATTATTAAGTTATATCTAGAGATCAAATATCAATAATGGATATTCAAGTAATAAATATTTATCTTCAAAATTTACTTTAGTTCTTCGTATCGATGAAAGTGGCAAATCTGTTACGTTAAGTTTTTAGACCTGTTTCGAACTTATACTCATATTTATACTCATTAAACAGGACTACTTTTAACTCGAACATATTGTACTCTGTTGTGTTCCACTCGAACACAAAATTCTGATTTCTTTTATTATCTTTATTATTAAAATCGTATATAAATGCTTGCACGCACATATATAACTTTAAAAAAAAAAAAAGAAAAAAAAAATTCTCGAAAATGACGGCGATAAAAAACCATCTTGGATTATCGCCCCTGCAGAAGAAAGCAGTGAATTACATGAAAGAGCAATCAAAAGGTTTGGTGAGGGAAATTAGTGATTAGATTAATGGAAATAAGTAATTTTGAATTCTTCGTCTTCTGATGAAAGGGGTGAGAGAGAAATTGAGAATTGGGTAATGGATATACTTTTACGATTTTTTTGATTTATGATGAGGATTTCACGTGATTAAGGAATTAACGCTTTGAAGGAGATAGAAAAAGAATACGATGTTAAGAATTGGTATATGATCGAAATTTTGGATGGAAACAAAACAGGATGAATTTTCATAGTCCTTAATTGCATAATTCTAGAAGAATAAGGGAAGGAACGATGTGTGTAACAAGGGAATACTAAGAAAAACCAATTGTCCTCATGGAGTAATTCCGTTGTCATTAAATGACCAAAAGGTGGAGAGCGAGATTAGTTACATGAGAAAAGGGATTATTAAAAAAAGTATAAATGCAAACAAAAATATATTTAATAAATATTTAAATCAAAGCTAAAAATAAAGGAGTGTAATCGTCTAGTTGGAATTAATGGAAATGTCGATTGTTCAGTTTGTTCCAAGCGACAGTGAAGTAAGTAATGGAAAGGGAGCTTGCAACGTGGAAGTAAATGGATAGGTCACGGAACGGACATTCGTCTTTCCAAAGACTCTAACCTAGCTTTTATAGCACTCAGTGCTTCTTGATAATCCTGT